TCCCAGCATTTTGGGAGGCCGAGGTGGGCAGATCACCTGAGGTCAGGAGTTCGAGACCAGCCTGGCCAACATGGCGAAACCCTGTCTCTACTAAAAATGCAAAAATTAGCCGGGCGTGTAATCGCAGCTACTCGGGAGGCTGAGGCAGGAGAATCGCTTGAACCTGGGAGGCGGAGTTGCAGTGAGCCTGAATCTCTCTGAAGACCTACTTGTAGTATCCCTGAACAGCCTACTGTAGGTTTAGGTTTCACAAAGAGTAAAAACAGATGCCAGGCTATAGGGCAGTTAGTAGCCATAGAGGTCCAGCCAGTTTTTGGACTCCTTTTTCATCCCAAATATTTTATTTTCCCGGAAGAAACCATGTACTGAAATCAAAGCAAGTAAATGGAGTAAAACATCTTGTTTATCACTAGATGCATTTGGGGTAGATTGTTTGCAAAGGGGGTGCTATGGACTGAATTATATCTCCCCTCCTGTAATTCATATATTGAAGCTCTAACCCCAAATGTGACTGTATTTGAGACAGGGCCTTTAGGGAGGTAATTCAGGTTACATGAGGTCATAAAAGGAGGATCCTAATCCAATAGGACTGGTGTCCTTATAAGAAGAGACATGAGGGACGCTCATGCACGGAGAAAAGACCATGTGAGGCCACACAGCAAGAAGGCAGCCATTTGAAAGCTAAGGAGAGAGGCCTCACCAGAAACCAACCCTGATGACACAGCAGCCTTTCTTGTCTTAGAAATTGTGGTGATAACTATTGGAAATTCAAAAAAGTTTTTTAAAGCAATTATGAACTTTCACCAAATAAATGTCTCTACAAGGTATACTGTGGGCAAGTGATGGTATACAATTTGAATACCTAATTATTAGTTTGAATAACCAATGTGAAGGCACTAATTTTTTTTTTTGAGACGGAGTCTCGCTCTGTCGCCCAGGCTGGAGTGTGGTGACATGATCTCGACTCACTATAACCACTGCCTCCTGAGTTCAAGCGATTCTCCTGCCTCAGCCTGCCGAGTAGCTGGGATTGCAGGTAGATGCCACCATGCCCAGCTAATTTTTGTATTTTTAGTAGAGGCGGGGTTTCACCATGTTGGCCGGGCTAATCTCGAACTCCTGACCTCAGGTGATCTACCCATCTTGGCACTCCTAAAGTGCTGGGATTACAGGCGTGGGCCACTGCTCCCGGCCCTTCTTTTTTTTTTTTTGAGACAGAGTTTCGCTTTTGTTGCCCAGGCTGGAGTGCAATGGCGCGATCTCAGCTCACCGCAACCTCCGCGTCCCAGGTTCAAGCCATTCTCCTGCCTCAGCCTCCTCAGTAGCTGGGATGAAAAAAATCCTCAAAAAAAAAAAAAAATCCTTTAAGAGAGAAAAAGACTATTTAATCACCTGTTTGTTTTGTTTTGTTTTGTTTTGAGATGGAGTCTCCCTCTGTCACCAGGCTGGAGTGCAGTGACGTGATCTCGGCTCACTGCAACCTCCACCTCCCAGGTTCAAGTGATTCTCCTGCCTCAGCCTCCCGAGTAGCTGGGACTACAGACATGCCCCACCATGCCCAGCTGATTTTTGTATTTTTAGTAGGGACGAGGTTTCACCATGTTGGCCAGGCTGGTCTCGAACTTCTGACCTCAGGTGATTCGCCCACCTCGGCCTCCCAGAGTGGTGGCATTACAGGCGTGAGCCACCACACCCAGCCAAAAATCACCTGTTTTGATATGTTTGCTCAGTCTATTACAAAATTATTTCTATTGCCAAAGAGTAGTTGGAATTTTCAGCTGACCTCAAAACCAAACCCATAATGTTAAATCGTAATCTCCATCAGGAACTTGTTGGCACTGAGTGGCTGGAAATCTCTCCTCATACAAAGAAGTATCATTTTTGCTGAAGATTTTCAAAAACATTCTCTAATACAATATTATTATATGGCTGGGCACTATGGCTCATGCTTGTAATCCCAGTGCTTTGGGAGGCAAAGCAAGATAATCACTTGAGGCCAGGAGTTTGAAGCTCACCTGGGCAACATAGCAAGACCCTGTCTCCACTAAAAAAAAA